TAAGCAATCTCCAGGGGTTGAGAATACAATCGATTTTCGGGTTGTTCGGTTCATTAATTCGCACTGTTATTTGGTTCTTTTGCATATTCTTCGATTCTCACTCCCACCCCCCTAAATAGTGAAATGTTGTATGACTGATGTCTACAACGATATTAAAAATGCAGTCTTTCCCTCTATAAGAAGAATATGGGTATTGCTGATCGGCTGAATTGTATTGACCACTTCGGACCACCTCGAACAAGGGAATTTCATGTAGGCCACCATAGGCCGACCATACCGCGTCTCATCATCCAGGGACCGCGTACCGCGTTTGAATTCCGCAAACCACTCGAACAGCGCTTTTTGAAGTCGAGTCATGACCAAAGGCAGGCGATGGTGGAGAGCGGTGTGCGGATGACAGTGGCACAGCTGCCGAAAACCATCGCGATCTCATCGGGATCCATCCGCACCATCCTACATGAGCACTTCGGCCTGAGAAAGATTCGCGCACAGTAAGTACCCCATCAGCTCAGTGAGGAACAGAAAGCAGTTCGAGAGAGTTAGTGCCGCACGGTGCCTGCCAGGTTTGATGGAGTACGTTCCAACTCAGTTTGGGAGATGATCAACAGTAATAAGGCCTGGGTGTACAGTTTCGACCCAGGGACCAAGCGACGAATCGCCCTAATGGACGCCGATTGTTCGTTCGCCGCCCCAGAAATTCCGACGCGAGCGATGTGGCAAAGCGGATGTTGGCTGTGTTCATGGCCAAAACTGATAATCTGGCTACTGTACTGCTCGTACAGCAAAGCACTCACTGGAAACTGTTACTCTACCCACTGTCTGCTGAAAGTGCTGGCCCTCCAAAAGCCTCAGTATGGTCGGGGGTGGGTGTCTAGGATTGCGGCTGGTCACCCTGCACTTGCACCTTTTGAAATGCTCCCGTACGACCAAACGTCGCAAATAGCCTCTGCTAGGGAAGCCTTCTCGTGGAGGAGATGTTTTTCCACCAAAGCGACAGGACGAAAAGCCGACATCCGAGGCTATAACCGGGTTGCTGAACCACTGGTAGTTCACCTAGGCGGTTGGCCCAAAACCCTGATTCCAAACCAACTAAGGCGTACAAACCACACCCACGCCTTTTCGATTGTGGCAGTGGTCACCAGCCCGATTGGGCGTTGAGATGTATTGGGTACCTTGGACGTTTGACCCTGTCCGAAAGGTGTATGATCCGATAAACTGGACACCTAAAAAAATTGTTATTCCACTTATTCGTAATCTCTTATTCTGACAGCTACATCTTTTCCCTATACTCTGTACCCCAACTTTCCTCGTTATTTTTATTGTTAATATTGTTATGGCGTTGGCACCAAGCTTGTTCTCAAGCCGGTCATCGATAGATTACAGTTTTCACACACCGCCCCGCTGTCTTGTGGGTCAGGCTCCGGTTGTGGATTCCTCAAGAAAAATTTACGTGCTCTGACGTGGATAATCTGGCAGTATTCAGCCCACAAGCCAATCGTAGAACGTTCTTCTTTTTTATAAAGATAATTATACGATGATTTGTCTGGCAGGTAGTCTGTCCTCAGACAAATGTTAAGTATAATATGTATAATGAAAGTGCTGTTGCCTGGCGTTGTCGAAGGACTCGAGCACGAGGGACTTTGCTACATCATAACAACGAACCTGTCACCCACTATGCAGTGCAGACCTGGCCCCGAGTGGCATTTAGTGTTCCCAGATGTCAAGCGCATGATGCGTGGAATCTGTTGCGAGTCACCAACAGCTGCGATGGAGGCCATCACTGAACTGGCCAAAGGATTACCCGCTCCGGCATGGTCGAGCTGTTTCACGAAATTGTTTGAGCGCATGAAACGGTGTTTGGAGGCTGGTGGAGAATACGCGGAGAAAATCTAATGCATATTTTTGTGTAACGAATAAAACGTTTTGTGAATCCGGAAACCTTTTGCTCAACCCTCGTAGATAAAGATAGACCATAATTATCCGGATTGACTGAACGGTGACTGAGATGGAAGAGAATGCGCACTTTAGTGAAGTTAACAGTACGGACGCGACCTCCGTAATTACTGGATTATGGACGGTAATCCAAGCTTTAACAGATT